AACACACAGCCACACTTTGACATAGCAGCAGCAAGACAACAACAAAGGAACAAGAAGATTGAGGACACTATCACACACTACATCATGTACTCCAACTTCAAGTCATACCACCACCTGTTGATCGACTCAGGAGCATCTACACATGTTTGCCCGAAGGACTACGCGCCAGACCTACCTCTACGACCTTGTGGAGAATCGGTTCCACAACTTTACACGGTTACAAACAAGAAGATTCCTGTCTACGGCATCAAGTACGTTCCCTACAAGCAGGACAACTTCAGGATCATGATACCCTATACCCTACTACGTTTGTGATGTGAAGTATCCAATCCTCAGTGCATCAAGACTACTTGATAGAGGATATGGACTTGACTGCACTCCACGACACTGCACCATCACACATGGACAACAACAAGCACACCTTATAAGACACTCAGGACTTTTCTACCTACGAGCAGAGAAGATCGACATCCCTACAGGATTCGACATCTGCCCAATGACTACAGACAATGGAAAATCCATAGCTGTGATTCAACCTACGGAGAAAACAGTACAACAACAAGAACAAATTGCACCACTCACCCACACAGACCAAGGACTACGACAGATCCTTGGTGGAAACACTGACTACTGGAAACTTGATGGTGACTACGCCGTCAGAGTACACAAACGACCGCGCAAAGCATTATTCACACCACACAACAGCGGTTGCCCAATACCTGAAGGAGAACTAGATGATTGGCGACTAACCATCATCAACAGACAAGGGCAAGAGCAAGAACAACTACAAGAGAACCCAACACAACTTTCCAAGCAAGAACTACAACGAAGACTAGAAGGTGACAACTGGACTGGAGAAACCAGATTCAGAAGAAAGATAACACCTACACGCAGAGCAACATCAAAGACCACACCAACAAGGCAGAGCTCACAACCACAACGGCTAATGGACACACCACCAACCAGATCAAAGATCCAACTACGAGCACCACAAAAGATGGAGACCTAAGGCAGCACCTTCTACAAATTTTGACACCACACAACCAAAGGAGACAATCCACAGACCACTCACAGCACAGGAGGACAACCAAGACTACTGGGAAAGACAAGGTGAATACTGGATAAGACACCACACAACTCTTAGAACAACTCTATTCACTCTTGAGCCTCACAGAACTACAATCACTCACAACCACTTTGGAGAAGTTTCGCAACGCAAAGATGACTGGACAGTCATGGGCAACGCAGCACTACCATTTCAATGGAAAGGAACAACAAGGTTCACCGTGAAGAAAGACTACGAGTACATCCAGGAGAACCACGATGAGGAACAACAACACGAGCATCATGAAGCACACAGAGCAAGAGGACTACGACAACCGCAGCAGCCCACTCCACAACAAATAGCAGAACACAACTTGACACACCTACCATACAGAAATTGGTGTCCAATTTGCGTTCAAGGCAAAGGACGCCAGGACAACTACAAGAAACAACAATCACGACAACCCATCATCCAAGTGGATTTTGCCTACATCAAATCACAACAAGATCCGAAGACCATACCAGTCTTAACAGCAGTTGATGTTACTACACAACTGTGCATGGCGGTATTGGTTCCGGACAAACCATCAATGATGGACTACATGATCAACAACCTACAAGCATTCATCTTTGAATGCGGAAGAACACACGGCATACTACAAAGCGACAACGAAGACACACTCAATGCACTACTAAAAGCAACAGCATCTAAAGTCGGCTCAATGACTGTACGACATTCACCATCCTACAGCAGCAACAGTCAAGGAAGCGTTGAGCGACTACATAGAACACTTCTCGGACAAATCCGCGTCGTCAAAGCTCAGGTTGAAAGCAACTACAGCATGACGATGTCCACAAAGCGCTGTCTACTACCTTGGATAGTACGACATGCAGCGTGGACGGTAAATCGCTACGTCGCTACGTCATTCACTCAGACGGCTACACAAGCTTTGAACGCCGCTGGGGAAGAAACTACGAGCGAGCAATCTGCGAATTTGGCGAGACACTAATTTACCTTCCACCACAACACAAGAAACTTCCAAAAGCAGACCTACGGATGCAGAAATGCATCTGGCTCGGAAAAGTTTCCGAAACCGGAGAAAACTACGTCGCACGGAACCAGGCGTACAAAAGGTACGAACAGTACGGAGACTACAACCGGACTTCAAATACGACCTCGCACTGTTGAACAAAGTTTCCGGCGCACCATGGGCACCACGACGGAACACCTACAACCCATCGTTCGCAACACTGCTGGATACGCAACTACAACCGTCAGAGAAAAGAAGGTCCACGCAAGATTCCGGACAACAAACGAACGCTACGGACGACATCGTTGCGGAACCCGCAACAAAACAACAACGCGCTACACCACCTCCACGACTTCCGTCAACATCGACGTCAAGTTCACGACCACTACCGGATAGTCCTATGGCTACTTCACCAACCGGACGACAACATCCACCACTACCAGCACCACCTCGACAAACACTACGACGTTTAACTCCGGAAGAAGTAATGCAACCAACTAAAGCACAGAAGACCTCAAAGGACACTACAATCAGATCAACGGAGCAAGCAACCAAAGAACCACCACCACTACGACAGAAAATTAACGCAGTGACACTTCCCAACGGAAAATCCATCACCCCCTACACAAACGACGACACCTCAGAAGACCAACCCATAATCTTCGACAACGAAGGTTACGACGAAACACAACTACTGGAAGGAATGAAACACGAGTCAAACCAAATGAAGCTACATGACGTCTACGACGAAGTAGATGCGTCTACCGTCGACGACAACGTCATCAGAGAAGCGATACCTACAAGATGGGCACACAGAAAGAAAGGACCAGGAGTACGAAGCCGAATCGTCGCAAAAGGCTACACAGAGAAGATCGAGGACGAAGACTCCGTCTACGCCTCTACACCAATGTTCACGACACTCCGGACACTTCTCGCACTACAAATGTCACGACCAAACTGGATCGCGCGACTAGGCGACGTCTCTACAGCATTTCTACACGCACCCATCGCAAAAGACCACGACGGTAAACAACGTGACGTCTACCTTTGGCCACCTAAAGAACTTTGTCCACAACAGGACAAAATCTGGCGACTAAAGAAAGCCATGTATGGACTACGCAGTTCACCAAAAGCATGGCAGGACTACCTGGCTGAAGTGTTACAAAAGCTCAGCTTTGTAAGGCTACAGTCAGAACCTAACGTCTACACCAATGTGACTCGCGACTGCTACATCATGGTCTACGTGGATGACCTCTTGGTACTTGGTGACAAGACTACTGTCGACTCCACCTTCGAGGCCATCCAGAAGCAGGTCCTACTCAAGCAGATCGGCTACCTCGAACCTGGCAAACCACAACCATTTCTTGAAAGAAACATCGACCACTTTGGCAACTACTGCAATCTTGGACTAAAGGACTCCTACATCGACAACATGATCGAGGAGTCTGGAATGAACAACTGCAACTCAGTGAACACTCCAGGAATTGCGCACTACAAGCCAACAATAGAAGATGAGTGCTTGGTGTGTAGCAATGCTCTTGCCTGCTGTGGAGTCTGTGCGGATGCGTAGGTTTAGCTTGCTGCAAATGTTGGTTTCAAGTAGGAAATTTCTGAGGTGTAGTCCCTCATTAACTCCTGTGCAAATGGCGTAGAGTTCAGACTCTGCTGAGCTGAGCGCTATTGTAGCTTCTGTTCTGCTGCCAAATGCAACTGTTGTTCCTAAAAAGATGATGTTGAAACCTGAAGTTGATTTCCTGGTAGTAGGGCATCCTGCCCAGTCGGCATCGACATAAACGTCGAGATCCAGGATGTTGTTGGTGTTTGCTCTGAGTGTTGTTGTTGGTTCTATGGTGAATTTGTAGTGCTTGGTGCCGTGCAAGTAGCGTAGTAGATGTTTGACTCTCTTTTGTGAAAGTTCTGTAGGTGCTGTGAGGTCTCGTGCTAGTTCTTTTGTGGAGTATGCAATGTCTGGTCGTGTGTACGCTAACCATTGAAGTTTGCCAACAATCCTTCTGTACCTTTTGTGTTGTTCGTGGTCAAGTAGTGCTGACACCATCAGAATCCTCAAAACCAACACACTACACAACAGCTCAGACTTGTTCACAAATACATCAGCAAAGAAACACTACAGAGGCTCATACAGAGCATTGGCATACGCGTTTAGCACTACGAACAACAACTGTTTCACAACTGTTTCACATCAACCACAACAGTTTGTATATGGCCACATGTAACTACTTGCATGTAAGTAACAGTAACAGTAACAGTAACTACAAGTCACAGTAATTGTAACCACCAGTAATTTGCACTTGCACGTTTGGCGGCTTTTGGCGGCTTGGGACAACATTACATGTTGTTTTGTTTTACTACATGCCCGCATGTGCTTTTGCGAGCTAACATTGGCTCACGACTGTCTGCCCCGTTTCACTGCATCTTGATAGGCCGAACTACCAGCAATGGCTGGAACTGGAACTACGCCCATGGATGCGACTACGCTGAATGTCCTGCCGATGGAGGTTACTACATCAGCTCCAGAGGCTACTCTGCCCGTCGAACAAAAGCTGGCATCACTACACCGGACCGTGTTTCCACACCACCAGATCGACAGAATACTACCGACTCCAGCAGCATGGCCACTTTGGCCACACCACCACCTGAGGCACACAACGCCCTCAACTACAACTTCAATCACCAACTACCCACACCTGCACCTTTCTACAGACCCGACGACATTTTGGCACATCTCACTACTGTTGAGAACAACATCCCTGACACTCCAGCGATCGACCCGGCACAGAACTACTTCAGGGTCTACGTGGCTTTGACGCTAGAGGAATTTCAACTACCCAGTCAACAACACACTACGCCCATTCCCGAGCTCAACTACAACCTACCAATTCACGACCTACCCTCAGACATTCGGATGCCAATTTACGACTCACTACCTCTTCACCTACGTCTTTCAGAGACAGTCAACTTCTACTACTACAACCTGACATCGCTACACCTCACAACCCAGTACATCAACTCGATGGTCATTGCCCAACTACACCTTCCACAAGAAGTTCTACTACGATTTGTCAGTGCTGGACAAGTCACTAACTTCTCCCGCGACTACGTGAGCCACATGATCTCCATCACCGACAAGCACCACCTTCCTACACGCCAACTACATCAACGACTACACCGAATCAACTACGATTTGGACCAAATCACCACTACATTCAACCTATCCAACAACTTCATTTGGAACTACCACATGCCCTTGTACCTACCCGAACTACTCAACTACTTCGACCAACCACAACAACTTCAAGACCACCACTACAAGTCCATCAACACGATTCTACACAAAAGTGCCACCTACTACGGCATCACCCTACTCACGGCTACGAATCTTTCCATGCAACACAAACTACTACTACACAACCTTCTCACTACAACCGGCCAAGCACTTGCGCCGCCGGAGTGCGACTACAACCGTCTCCGTGGCGGTCCAGACTTCCTCAACACATTCACTACCAACCGCTACGCAGGCTTGGACTACCGCATCGGCCAAGTCCAGAACTACCGAGTCCACCACTGGACTAAGCACACCTGATCTACAGGTGGAACTACAACTACTTGCTGTACTACATCATCGTACTACGAGATGACTGAGAGCCACTTAGGGTTCTTGTACAGCAACTTCACATTTGATCATTTGAAGGTTAGTTGAACTACAGACAGCAGCGCTGTAGATACCTACCTTCGGTCATTTTTTAAGAGACTACATGCCTGTTCGCTACAGTAGCATCGGCAAACAACATGTGCATTCGTTTTTGCCACTACTGTCAATACCACCTTTTGGGTCTATGATTAAAAGGACACTACAAGGTCTTTTAACCAAGGGGCTGTGTCAAATATCATGCTGCACTACTTGTCCCTTGTGCATGCATGATGTACACTACCCGACCGCAGGCCTTGAGTCTACCAGGAAAAGAGTGCATGCTGGCTAACTACATTTGTGTTTGTGACAACATAGACAACGCCTGCACTTGTAGTAAAGTATCGACGTATTTTAACGTGAAAGAGAGAGAGGAACAACTGACACTTGTTCGCGCTTTTAGATTTCCGATGGCACCAACTTTTCTGTCCGCGTCTGGGTCTGTCCTCAAACAGGGGGGGCCCTTACGCACGCCCGAGGCGCTCAGTGTCGCCAGTCCCCGCTTGGGGCCCGGAGAGATGGGCTCACTTCGGGCGATCGGGGTATCCTTATGGAAGTGCAACGATGAGTTCCATGTGCGCTGTTCTTGGTGGGAGGGCAACTAGGCATAGGTTGCACTTGGCTTTGATTCAGCTGATGCCATGACCCGACAGATGGAGTCAATCTTAGTTACCGCCCATCAGGATGATGCGACAATATTGTGATTATGATGCATGTTGCATCTTCGGTTCTTGTGCCATGATTGGCAGGGGATTTGTTGTTCCAACTGCGACATTGTCAAGAATAGTATCATTTGAGCTACAGTTGTTGGATTCCGGTAGCCAAGCCAAGCATTTGGGTTGCGATATGCACATTTCTGACCATCCTCATGTACAACGAACTAACTACATCGTTGCCAAGTGGAGAACAAGGAGCCGTAGAGCACTGCTGTCCGCTTTGGGCGGGAGCAACTGACCAGACGATCACGAGTCTCCTGTTGATTTCGGTAGGACGAGAAGGGGCCGGTTTCCATCACTCCAACATTCCTAGCCAAGGGCAGCCCACAGACAAGGCAGCTAGGCTCGAGCGGCTTCGATTGGAGGGGGGAGGCAATTGTCTCATGGGCCAGACCTTGCTATGTGCAACCGAAGGTCAGAATGCTTTTCATGACCATACGTGCCGTGGTCAGAACACCCTCTTGCTTGGGGTTGGCAGGGATGGTCATCAATCGCTCGGCAAGGGTTTTTAGGCAATTGTTGTAAGTTAGAAGGAATGATTCTTGGACGGCAGTTTGGGGCTCGCACTTACACATCGAAAGTTGTGGAGTCTCTGGGCATGTTGGGCCAGCAGCCAAAACAGATGCTTCATGGGTGGGAAAGATCAGCAGCTCCTATGATGTTAAAGATCTTTCATGCTGAAGGTCTATTGCTGCTGGGAAAGAGTCATTTGCTACAGACGCTGAGCATTTGCGGACTGTGAATTTGCAGGGACCTGTTGATCGGTTTTCAAGGGGAACCAATAAGAAGCCGACCATTTGGAGGGCTGCTTTTGACGGAGACATCTACGAAGGAGTAACGCCTGCAAAGACAGCGCGCAGGTTCTCAAGTCCCAATCACGTGGTGTTGGGCACTTTTGACCAGTGATGGCCAAGTGTGATCGGCACGCTCCCACTCAACTCAAATCCTACCTGTCATTTTGATTGCTCGATTGTCCCAAGGCCGCGCGTTATGGAGTTGTCACATGGTTGGCAGCATCTCTGTGTGAAGACAGCGATAACCTTTTGCTGTGCCAGGACACGAACAGCCGCCGAATGTGGAGACCAAGGACACTCTTGGCTTTCTCAGTTTTTGGCTCATCTCTCGGTGGTGAGGTTGCACAAGTGCCAAAGTGTTTTTGAGCCAGATCATCTTCTCGCCATCCGCCCCTGTGAAAGGAGAAGTTGCACATGTCAGCTGCGCAGAAGCTGGTTGCTCAGGCTCTGCGAAGCGACACGTGGAACCTGTTGAACTAGACCCTGTATGCCAATCTCTGTCACACAAACCATCGGCATCTCTCACTTCCAGACTGTGACAAAATTTCTCGTATCGCCTCAAAACCTTGAGGAAGTCAGGTCATCCTTGTCTCAGAATTCTCGGGCGCGGCTCTTTGGTGCCTTCTTTGAATATAGCGGATTTTAGGCTGATGTCTTTGGGCAACCGCAATCCATCAAGCTCCTGGCCTGGGTAGCGGGTCTGAGGTTCGGCCTTCTCGCGGGAGTGGCCATGCTGGCCTTTGCCTGCCTTCGGCGAGGTCCTCGGAGGTTCGAAGGGCTAAGCAGCGGGGAGGTGCAAGAGTCTGCAAGAGACCGGGGAGAACCAGCCTTGGCAATTTCCGATGCGCCGGTGCTAGCGCTAGCTACAAATGGTGCAAATGGTGCTAGCCCTTTTGGCTGAGGCCCTCGAAGCCGGTGTCGAAGCCGGAGGCTGGGGGCTTCAATGGGCCCAACTTTTCTGCCTTGTCCCCCGACCTCTTGGGCGGTTGCGTTTCTTGGCGGGCTGTGTTTGGTTGGGTGCCGTTTCAGTGCTTCAACACGGGAATTGGATGGAAACAGTCTAAACCAGGCAGAAGGCAACAAGGTGCCGTGTTAGCGCCAAGCGCGACCCTCCTGTTGCCTCACAAAGTGCCACCTCCCAAGAGTTGCTTGCGTTGCCTGAGAGGGGAGCGGTTTAGAGCCTGCCTTGAGTAGTCGTTTGTGCTGTTGTCCTTAACCACGCTCGATTCACAGCGCAATGCGGGCTATCGGCGCCAGGCTGCCAGCACATCCCGCAGCTTGGTTTGCAATGGGCTATGCTACTGTTTGGTTTGGTTGCAAGCGTTTTTTTTCCCTTTCAGGCTGCGGCCTGGCTAGCAGGGCTGTTTCCGATGGTCAAGCTAAGAGAGATCCTTCCAAGGCCATGTTGGCCGTTACATCCATTGTGACGTTGCCCAACATGTGTGCAGCTTGTCATGAACCCAGAGAGGCGGATTCAAGCGCCATTGGCCGTAAGGACCACCATTCTATCAGTTTTCCCCTGTTCTTTCCAGACGCCTTTTCAGGAAATGGTTTGTCTGAAAGTTGGGTGAGTCGTCCCTTAGACACCATCCGTCTTCTTCTTCTACTTTTTCTTTTCGGCTCCAAAGGGTCCTTGCCCTCCCGGGAAAAGGATGCACCGTGTCCGCATCGCGTCGAAAAGAAAGACAAACAACAAGAAACCGCTCGTTCCAACATGCCAAGCATTCCTCAGGATGGTTTCTAAAGAGTAGAAACTATCCCGAGGAATGCTTGGCATGTAAGCTGAAAGGCCACTCGCGCAAACGCGAGGGCTCCGAGTTCGCCCAGGCTTCACCGCAGAGCCTGAGCCAGAGGCGATCCGTCCCGATCAGCTGAGTTTGCTTGAAGGAAGCAACGGCTCTCTCCACAACCACGGGGCTGTTTGTGGGGCGCTTGGCGCAGCTGGCTGGCTAGAGGGCGTGTTAGAAGGTGGGTTGGTGGGTTGGTTAGTTGCTTGCTTGGTTGGCTTATTGGTTGCTTGGATGAACCAGCCCTGATTCAGCCCAAAATGAACTCCTCCCTGAACCAACACCCAGCCTCTAAAGTACAGATGGACAAGATCTACCCTCATCAAGTGCGGAGGCCGCACACAAACACTGCCCCAATCCAGCCCCTTGCAACGTCACGTTCAAGTCTTCCCTAAAATGAGAAGCGAAGGAATATGCTCCTCCAGTCTATGCCCCCTCCGAAGTTGAGGGTTGGCTGATCGTGGTTTCCTTCCGTGTTGGGCTGGATTCTGAAGTGGCTGCACAAAGGGACCTTGTTTCTGTTGGGCGCAGGAACGAGGTTTCAGCCGGGTGGGGGGGGGCAATTGTGACATCATCACAAGGTCATGTCAATGACTCGGCCCTTGGTGCAGCCACTTGAGAATCCAGCCCAACACAGAAGGACACCACGATCAGCCAACCCTGAACTCGGGGGCATAGACTCAACTGTTTGGAGGCAACTTTGTCACTAAGCCGCCTTTTCTCAAGGCAAACATCGTGATTCCAAGGACACCACTTCCGGGCCAAATGGGTGTACTGAACCGGGGGTTGGCGCCTTGAGAGGCTGTGCCAAGCCTTGTGTCGCTGACCAAGCGCGCTCTGGCCCAGAGCCCCAGAGGGACCTGAGAGTCGAGCCCCCGGAGCACCCAGGGCACACAGGGCAAGGCTGCGCTGATCTTTTTGAGAATTGACGATCCTATTTGCTGGACTTTTACATGTCAGGCCATTCACTTGTTCTTCTCTGAATGAGTCCGAAGTAGTAGAGTTGTTGCTTGATGCGAAGGATGCGCAGCTTTGGTCTACGCGTTCTGCAGCCAGCATTGACATAGCCTGCCCATCTCTGTCAATACGAAACCATCGAGATGCGCACGCAACACATTTCATGCCAATTGCATTGTCAAGAGTATGAACTCGTCGTGCTTTGGAGGTACCGAGTTGTCTCGCAGCAAGATATTCGCATGACAGGATTGTGCGCTATGCGGTCGCTGTCAGGATTGCCCCAACTCCCGTGCGGACGTGCTCGATGACTCGGCCTCAGCACGTGCCAGCAGCTTGTGCTAACATATTGGGGCTGAAATGAAAGGGACCCGCCAATTCAGAGACAAACCCCCGTGTTGCTTGTGAAGCGCCCTCACAGCAACTATTTCGGAATGTCAACATCCGTTGGTTGAGACATGCGTGCCCAAGGGAACCGTCAGCGACTGAGTGAAGGTGTTGGTTCCGTGACCTTTTCTGGTAAGGGGCATGCTGAAGCTCATAGCTGGGAATCTCCAGCCGGGACAAGTCACTGCAACGGCTGCTGTTAAGATTTGCCATGCTGATTTGTCCTTTGCCTGTCATCGAGACTCTTGAGCATTTCCCCAGCTTCCAGCTAAACTCACGTGCACTTCCTTTGAACACGTAGCAGTCGTTTCACTTCGTCTTCGAAACTGGTCTGCCAGCCAAGGTCCTCGCAGGAGCGCCGTACGAGTTCAGCACAGAAGAGAATCAGGAGGCCCCAGACTCGGACTGGAGACGCTGGAACCTAACCGGAGCTTGAGCATTTCACAGAACCCTTTCAAGTGGCAAATCAAGATGCTCGAGTATCGCTTGCCTGGCCACTTTGGGGCTACTGTGGGCTGGCCACTTTGGGGCTACTGTGGGGTGTGTGTTTATGCTTCCCCGATTGTAAAGTCGAATGTTCTGGGCAATCGAAATATATTGTCCGAGGAGGCTGGCGCTTTCATGATACCATTTCAGGCAACGAAGGGTTTTCATCTTGTGCTCCGGAAACGAAAACCACGCTGCTAATGTTCAATTGTCTCAATTCATAGGGCAGCAGAAGGTGGTGACTTGCTAGTCAATCATACACAGGCACTAAGCTTGCTGAGTCGCTCCAGTTCGGCCCTGCTCCGTACATCCACGCTCTGCAATCTGAGGTCATATGAACGTTTATATTTTACGCATATTTTCCAAATTCCAGAGTAACTGATGCCGCAAGAAGAGCCGAACGGCTCCCAAGATGTTAAAGGGCACTCTGCAGCCTGTCGCACATCAAGCCGTTTATCTTGTAAAATCCAGTCTTGAACGACATGATTCCCTCCCTGTTCCTCGGCGCCCTGAGCCTGGCTGCAGCCAGCCGCAGCGTGGAGTTGACAAACTCAATGACCGCTTCCAAGGCTGTCGAGCTTGGTCTCATCTCTGCATTCGACAATGACAATGTGACCCACACTGATTCCTTTGCGGAAGTTCAGCAGCACCTGCAGGAGGAGACTCAGGGGAAGTCAGCGAAATGCCCAGAAGTACAGATTTGCACGACATCAGATGGTGCATGCGACCCTAAGAACCTGGTGGTGATCACTTGCATCAGTGCACACAATCTTCCAAGCCAGTGGGGTGACAAGGTAGATCCCTATGTCAAGTTCTGGGTGGACAACAAGGACAACAAGGCCAGCACAGTCAGCTATGACAACAACGAGAATCCCAGTTACCACTTTGGCTGCCCCTTCAGCTATGAAGGTGCCCTGAATTTCGATGGAAAAGTCATGGACGATGACTTTGGTGGGGATGATCTGGTCGGAGAATTTGCGGCTGGTGGGTCCATCAACATGGACGCCGCGTTCTTTGACGGGGCAGACACCAACGGCGACGGAGTCTTCGAGATTGTGGTCAACCTCTTCAAGAACGGTTCCCCAGTGCGTGGCAGCTCGGGCCAGAGCACGGTGCGGTTCAAGTTCCAGCTCATCAAGGCGGAGGGCTACCAACTGAGGCGCCGCTGAGCTTGGCCGATGCAGCGGGGCTGAGGAAAAGCAGCACGCGGACGAAGCTCTTTGCCAGCCCCAGTCAATACGACTCCCCTGTGTGTTTTTGGTGCCATGGGCCATTTGAATGGTTCGCCAGAAGCCGGCAGATAGCGTGGATCTTGGTTGGTGTTGCCCCACGCTCGTGTCCAGGGACACCCTTAAGGCACCGGGCAAACGAAAGCCCTCGTTTTTGGATGTTTTGGGCTCCCGCAAGCTGAGGGCTTCTTCCGCCTGCCGCATCTGGCGGCCGCCGCCGCGCGGGGGAAGGATCTCTGGGGCCTGGCCGGAGGTTCTGGTGGAGTTTTGGGAGAGGCGAACGCAGCATAGTTTGAACGAAACCGGGTTGATGTCAGGCGGCATATCCTGAATTCCGCTTGCCGCTTGCCTTCAACTTGCAGTTACGAAGCCTGTGAAGGTCGTTCTCGGAGGAACCAAGCAGGAACAAATACAGGAGTTAGCAGCAAACATTGTAGACGTGCCTTCTGGGAAGCAAACAGGTCTTGATAGCTGGTGGAGTCATTCATGCAACGTCCGTGGAGTTGATTCTCATGCATTGCATGACAGCTGGGAAATTCACCTGATGGGTGCAACCGGTGAAATCAAGCCGCATGGCGCAGTGAGATCTTGACTGGGGAGGCTCAAGCAGAGGGCTTCGATGTTCGCTTGGGCTCTAGACGAAGTGCAGGAAGCTGGTTCACGGGACTTGGGAATTTCGAAAACATGTTGAGGGGACAATGTTGCATGATGATAGTGCAGATGTTGCATCTGCAACAAGGTTGAACAGCGGCACAGACGCGCATTGGTGCACTGTACAATGTCGAAATTCTGCTTGGAGGCTTCTTGAACACTCGCCAATCGCCTGGCTCCAAAGGTTGAGAGTAAGCCAAAGAACTGAGACAACCCCACCAGTCCAACCTGTCTCAGCCCAGCTTTCGACGAGACTCAGTTCTGGGAAGCCGGAGTTGCCAGACTCAGACCTGAGACGGCCATGTCACCGTGCCGGCCGGCACCGGTCCGGCCCGCCTCAAAGTCAGCCGGCTTCAAGTTTTGCGCCTTGAAAGGGGACTCCCTGTCACACTCTGGCGACAAGGTCTGAATGCGTCATGCTTTGACAGTTGAGGCAAGCCACGGGTCCCATCCCAGCAAACGAAAGGCCCCAGGCCCAGAAATTACCTTTCTGATCGGCCAAGGCCATCTGGCATCGAGGCCTGGAGCAGGGAGAGATGCTGTGATTGGAAGCTTTCAAACCCGGGATTGATGTCCACCAATCACTTTTGAAGCGGTTTGCTATTCCTAGCCATTCGTTGAGCATGGCCACATCGATTGCTTTCGCAGTTCTGACCCCTGCCGAGCGGGGCTCGCAGGCGGATGAGGTCCTGGCATGAGGCGGGGCGCTCGGCCAGCGACTTGTGAAGGCCCTCACTGGAACTGGCCACAAATTGGTGAGCCCCAAAAATGAGTGCTTTGTTTGCTTGGTGCAACACCCCCTTTAAAGGGTACGCTCAGAAGAGCACACCTCCAATTGGCTGAGCACCGAGCGAGGACCGCTCAGCCCGGCCTCTGCCGCTTCGCTTTCAGCTCAGATGTGGGGGCGCTCGTGTCCGGCGCCCCAGCCCAACAAAAAAGTGGGGGAGGAGGCCTTGATGCCACGTCTGGCATGAAGAACAGCGGGATGGCCGTGTTGTGGAGAGGCCCATACTTTTTGTCGACACCCCAATATTGGGGAGCATGCACCACTCCCATTCCCAGTGCGCATACATGCACGCGTCGTTTTGGTTTCTATTTGAGAGCGGGTTTCGAATTACTGAGAGCCCCAAGATGAATAAGCCCGGCTGAACAAATCTGGTTACTGCTGGAAATCAGACGCATTGATGTTACCAAATACTACAGCGCAAAACCTGCCGGGCACATCAAGGAGAACCCATATTTGACAAAGGGTTTACCCGGAGGCATTTGGGGCAGGTGAATCCCTCACTTGGTGTGCACCTCTCGGCCAGGCGCTGCCGCATCGACCAGCTCCTGCCGAGATCGCAGGCTGAGGCCGAGACTTGAGCCGTGCCGCGGGGATGGGATCGCGAAGGGCGCGCAGAGCGCGCGATGTGTCATTTGGATTCTTTCAGACAATGGGCCAGGAACCGGGAGTGGTTCTGTTTTGCTTCTGTTTTGAAGGCCCCCGAACTCAATGTTCCCATCGCCTGCCAGTCCCCTTCTGTCGGAGGTGTGAGGGTCGGGGCAAAAGCTAGCCAAGATGGTCAGCCTGCCAGGATTTGATCGGAGATGAGCCGCTGGACATTGAGGCGCTACCGGGGGTTCCATGAGGATTGGACTTGGCAACAGCGCGACCTCTATCAAGGGGTGAAATGATCTCATCACTGAAGGTTCGTCATTGGCACACATGGCGGAGGTGGCTTGAGCGCAAGCTTTGTCCCACGCCAGTCAAACAATTCACTTTGCGTGAAGTCGGCGCGAGCTCAAAGTCGGCGCGAGCTTAGCTCAGGTGGACCTGTTGCTTGACGGCAGGGTCGTTTGCACGAGCCAATCTTCCAAAGCAGTCGGCGCATCCCCAGAGCCCCGAGCCCAGAGTTGCCGATTCCTTTTGGAATTATCCATATGGGCGGTGGAAATTCAAAAAAAGGGGCTCCCTTTTTGGAGGGTCGAAGAGAAATCCTGGAAGCTGCTGATTTGTGGTCGAATTCAGCAAAGACCATGAATCAAACCAGGGAGGTTTTCGTTCTGGGCGCACGATGCCTTTTCCGCTGTTCCTTTCATCAGTATGGTTTCCCTTCTGAAATTATTGAAGCCGACAGATGAACCTTTGTCCAACAACTGCCATGCTCCCCTCCTAAGAAAACCTCAGACGTGAGCAACACCCGAGGCAAGGCGCTTTCAGACAGCAGCAGTTCGTCTTTGCCATCAAGGCCGAGAGCTAGCAGTCGAAGCAGAGTCACTGGTCCACTGACTGATGAGAGGCCCCATCCCATCCCATCCCATTCCATCCCATTCCATCCCATCCCATCCATCCCATCCCATCCCATCCCATACCATCCCATCCCATTTCATCCCCATCCATCCCATCCCATCCCATCCCATCCCATCCCATCCCATCCCATCCCATCCCATCCCATCCCATCCCATCCCATCCCATCCCATCCCATCCCATCCCATCCCATCCCATCCCATCCCATCCCATCTCATCTCATCTCATCCCCATCCATCCCCATCCCATCCCCATCCCCACCCCCATCCCAGCCCATCCCATCCCCATCCCCATCCCCATCCATCCACACATCTAGCCATATCCGTCCGTCCGTCCATCCATCCTATCAATTCCATCGTATCCATCCCATCCATCGCATCCATCGCACCCATGGCATCTATTATTAGCCTCCATTGCATCTCTTGCATCTATTGCAGCCATCCATTGCGCTTTTCGAGTTATCCGTTCCATCCATCCTTCTTGTGCATGCATGCGTGCATGCATTCATGCCTGCGATGGAATATAGGTTCGCATGTTCTTAATAATTAACGGGCAGTGATGGCAATGCCAACTGTTTCATTGACAGAAGACAATTTCCGACTGGTTTCGTATTCAGGCACCGTCGTCACCATCTAGAGTCACTGGATGCTATGGCAGAAGTCATACCATGTTGTCCAATTTTTTGAATAAATGGTCCAGTTGTTTCCACTTGCAAACAGCAGGATGCTTGCCTGAAGATTTCAGAAAACGGATCCAAAGAATGCATGACACCCAAGGCATTTTCCTTTGCAATTGGATGTTTTGTGAGGTCCTAGTTTTGACGAATCCAAGACAGAGTTCCATGTTGAAGTTCGGGAGAGCCAGCAATTGTTAATTAATTACCCACTTTGTCGGGGGATGCTTCCCAGCACAGGTGCGGGACCTCCCCGTGGAGAGCCACTTTTCCTTCCGCCTGCGGAGCGCTTTGCTCAGAGCTGTTGCCGGGGTGTTGCGTTGTGACAGCTGCGCAGTGCTTTGCCGTGGTGGATGCAGAACTCAGGAGCTGCGGCACGAGGCACATTATACGAGGGCTCCCGAAATTCCTACATGTTTTGACAGCTTCATGTTTGTTCGGCCCGCGTCCAAGCTGCAACTTTGGACCTTGGCGTGTTTTGCGCTTTGTGTACTTTCCACCCGGCCCCGAGGCGCTCAGGACGGCTTGCCGAGCCTGCGGCGCGGGGCGGCGCGCTCGGCAAAGCCGACGGACTGGGTAGATGAGGGCAGATGAAGATTCATGGGGGCACCTTTCGGGAACGGCATGTCGGTTGCAAATTCGATTAGGCTGTCATTTTCATGTTCAACATCAGGTTTAGGAAACTGGTCGTGCAGCCTGCATGGGCATGGATGCTGTGTGGATCACGGTAAGGCTCATTGGAGTGGGATGTGCGACTTTGGTTTCTGTCCCCTTGCTTCAATACTGTTCTCGATTCCATGCTTGGACTGATGTGGCTCCAGGATTCTGTGGCTTTGAGTAGCTCCCCGTCGTTTAGGTTTCTAGTTTGATGTTTCGGACTGCGTTGAGGCCACGTAATTCTCACGGAATATGTAGCTATTTATGGCAATCTGATCGGCGCGTGATGGATTCGAATCACCCCAGGAAAACAAGGAAATCTGAGAAAGATCAGCGACGGCAAAGATCCTGTAAACAGGACATGGGTTACGTTCACCAAATAATCTTGAAAGATGGGGGGTTACTCACCTAAACATAATTCCAGATCAAGACGTCAATTGACCAATGTTTGCAGATCGGATTTTCCATTCGCAAGAGTTCTTCAGTTTTCATTTTGTAAATGGCAACATGATCGCCTGAAAATCCAGAGAATGGATCCAACAGGGGGTCCAATGCCTGAAAGCCGCTTCCTCCGCAACCGTTTGCTTTCGAGGAAGAAACTCAGGGAGGGCTCCATGGTCACTGAAAGAGGGGGGGCCCGCTCCCAAGCCAAACTTGGTAGTTGCTGTAGCTTTCACCCCTTGTGTGAGGAGGTTTTTCACAGACCAACGAGGAGTGGTGTCACTCAGGTCCTCCCGCTCTTCAACGACCGGGGCGTGCTGCGCCAAGGCGATGGCTTGCCGCCTTGGGAGCAAAGCCGATAGAGATACCGTTCACAAAAAAGGCCCCACACCGGCAGCCAAAAAAAACACCCGGCCTTTCCCGTGCCTTGTGCTGTTTCGGGCTAAGTTGGACCGGAACTGAGGGAAGGAGGGTTTCGTCCCGGCCAGGCCGGCGCCTCGTCGCTCTGCTGCCTGAGGCGGGGTGCGAGATTGGACTGCTGGTTTCAGGCATGGCGGAGTCTGGCTTTTGTGATGGGCTTGTATGGGACACCATGAGGAAACTCACTGGAAAGGGGAGGGGGGGGAATCGTTTAGAAGTGGAATCCTGACGTTTTCCTTTTCTTCGGTGGCTGGCAAGTCACATTAGCTGAAACATTTGGGCGCAGCCGGCTCGGGCAAAGATTCGACCGCAAGAGCCGACAATGACATTCTTTGCTCCCTTGTGCAGACTGTAGAACCTCAAGGAAACTTCCATGGCAAAGAGTTGTCGGAGTTTTCAGCCGTGCATTCGTTGTTCTCTGGTTCAGAGGGTCTGGCAAAGGATGCATGGTTGCCCACGTGAGGGCGCTTTTCAAAGATGATGTGGAGGCTTGCGAGGCATCACAAGCTCAACCTCAAGGTTGCCAACGGTCACGCATAGGCAGCCAGCCAACGTCAAGCAGGTTACGGCCTGCATCACAGGAGACCCTAGAGCCCCAAGTAGGTTGTTCAAAATCAATCCTCAATCCTGGTGTCATGTGACAATGGTTTTCTTTGTTGTAGTGGTGTCTCACTACGGGTTGCGTACAAGGCACTAGGGATCCTTTCGTGCCCTTTTTGCAAAGAGGAATCAACGCATTTGGCGAGTTGGCAGGTCAAACTCCTTGGACCCCTTTCGGTATCCTTTCTATGCGGCAAATCCTTTTCCACTTCCCCAGTTTGAGCACAGGCCACCCACCAGCTATGAACCACATGAGCAACGGTCAAGATTCATAAGCACATACTGTACAGGGGGTGACGGCAAGCCACAATCACCACAGCACACTGGGTCACCAAGCAAATTCCAATGTTAATTGGGGGCACAATGAGCATCGTCTGTTTCTTGTGGCCACGGATGGAGTGTAGGTTCCCCTCTTCATGTTTGTTTCTTTGAATGCGGAACACCCTCTCACATGGCCAGTGGACATAAATCCCCACTTGAACGATTCCCCAATTGAGCTTCATACCGGGACCAAGTCACCCGAATTTCGGCAAGGATGGCTCTACGCCCAGCGACGGCCGCCAGACATTGGGATAGGGAACTCATGGGTGTGTCTTCTTTTGGGTACACGTTTCTTGGTTGGTTTTAAAGGAAAACCAACAGGAAAACCGCATTTTTTTGTGGTTCTCCTGAAAAAGACACCCAAATTGCTGTGAATTGTCAAGGGGAACCGCCTCCAGATTGATTGGTGGACATGAATCCCACCTAAATAAAGTCCAAAAGGTCCCTAATTAAGATTCATGTCCAAGTGGGTTCCAACAGGAGCGTTCCGCTTGCTTTGGGGTCACCCTGTTTGTGGTGACGTTGATTCTTTGCTGGTATGAATTGTTGCTCTCTGCCCAAAGCTTTGTAGTTTTGCAAAGCTGCATGCAGTTGCACAGAAGTGGAATGAAGCCAACAATTCGCAAGTCGCATACGGCTGATTGCACAGTCCGTGAAGTGGCTTGCGAAAACACGTTTTCTCTCCCACGGTTTCTTCGCGTAAGAAGCGTCTCCTGCGTTTCAGCATCCGAGGTTCGGTTAACGCTTTCAGTCGTCTGCAGTCCATTTAAGAAGGACATGCTCACTAAATCTGCAGCAACAAACACAGCACCTCACTCACGAAACTTGCTTTGCCCGCATGTAAGGCTCTGCCCCCTGGGTGGGAGCTGAAATCGGTGCCTTGGCTGAGTTGAGCACCCGAGAGAGCCTGTTCAGGTTCTGATTTTGGCACGGGACCTGAAGCGCACTATGTTGCTACTTGCTGGGAAAGATCTGCTAAACTGGTGGGGACCGGGGTTCCACTACAGCTACTTGGCCTTTGAGATGCCTGTGACTTTGACGGAAAAGCGATCTTGGTTCTTTGGATCGGGGCATCTGCCATCACACGGGGCAAGGAGAGGGGGACTTGAGTCTTCCCCCAACCACCCCTTTTTGCAGGACCATGATTGTATTTTTGCCCAAAGCACAACTCCGGATCCATCATTTTCTGTGATCTCTCAAGCTTTCTGAAAGCAGCGCACAGCTCGTTTTTTTTTGTTTGGATAGGACATACCACATTGCTGAGCTTTCTCTTATTTCTTCCTTTCAATCAACCAGCTGAAGAACGGATTCCAAGAAGACCCCCTCGCAACCCAAAGGCGGTGCCCTGGACTCCAACGAGGCGGGGGAAAAACGGAGCTGAAACCCATCGCCTCGAGCGCCGGCGGTTGGCCGACCCGCAGGAGGCAACAGAAGCCTGGAATGATTTCGCCCCAAAACCCGAAAGCAACGCAGAGGTCTCCAAAGATATATTCTGAACGCCTGAAAATCAGATTCCTTCGGTCCTGTGAATGAAAGGCAATTTCATGGGCTTCTCCACAGCTTTCGTGGGATGCAATGTGTTGGTGTCTTTGTCTCAACATGCGCGTTTCTCCAAAATGACTGGTCTCCCGTTGTTGTTCCTGAAGCTCAGCCACAAAGTGTCTGGGACTCTTTGCAACATGGAATTTGCATGGCCTCAGCTCTCCAGGCAGCAGTGCGCTGGGTCCAAGTGGCGTGCTCAGCCGGGCCCGGCCTTGCACTGGAAGGCCTTCCCCCCCCACCCCCCCCCCCCAACGGCCCAACGGTCCGCGAACTGAGAGAACCCGACGGCATCCGTGGATCAAGAGATGCAGAGACGCACCATGCGCAGCCAGCATCCCACAAGTCCAACCATGCAGCAAGCCTGAGAACTCCGTCGGGGAGTTAGCGCGGTTCGGCTTCATAGCCATGGCGCAGCCGCCCTTTCTCTCGAATTTGAAGATCTCGGGCATGCAGGCTCGGTGAAGATGCAGGGGGTTGAAGGATCGCTGTGCGCTTATTGAGAATTCTTGGCGTAGGCTTCTCTGGGCATGTCTCAGAACTGAGGGGGTGAAACTTCGAGAGGAGGCCAGTCTGTAAGTTGGATACTGTGTTGAATCCCCCTACACAGGGAGACCCAAACGATTCTGCTTGAACAAAAATCAACCCTTGTGGCTTGGTTCCGAGGGCAGCTATTCCCTGTACATCACAGAGAAGGCTCTGCGCTTCACCGACAGCGGGGAGCAGAACATGCGGGTCATCCCGCGCAGCAGTGTGGCGGCCATCAACATTCGACCCCTGGAGAGAAAAGGGCAGAAGGTGGCCCAAAAGTGGGGAAAAAGCAAAGGAGGGGGCAATCTTTGGGGGTATTGAATCAGCCTAAGCCATTCCCCCAAGGGTCCAATTCCGGTGCGTGGGCGCTTTGTTGACTTTTGTTTTTGCATGCCAGCCGTGTTTTGTTGGAAACAGGCTCCGCTTTTCCAGCTGCAAAGAAGCGCCCCGAGATCAACATGTTAGCCTTGCGCGGTCAGACGGTCGGAGACATGGCAGTGCATAGACATGCTCTGGGACTTTGTAGAAGGTCACTAGTCCTTTGGGAGTGGTGCATAGTCCATGTTCATAAGAGGGCTAGACCTTACCAAACAGAACGGTATCGGGGGAAGTTCCTCCTAGAAATCGGCAGTATACTTCAAGCCATCCACAAGGGGTCTTCCCCTTTCAGCACTTCGATATCATTTGATTTTGTAAAGAACTTGTGTTCCAAGACCGGCTGGAGTCAAGATGTCCCTGCTTCGCACCCAGGGTGCTCATTTGTGTGCTGCCTGGATCGATGAGCGTTGTCATTTTGGGCCACAGGGTGTACTTCAATGGCGTGTTTCCTTGGCCCCGGGAGGGTGGTCTTCATCGACTGTGGTGATCTGCGTCGGATTTTCATTATGGATTATTAGGATGATCGAGATTATGATGTCAAGGATTGTCCATAGCCAAGAATTGTTCACCATTAACTGCCAGGGAAGAAATCTTCCAAGATGCATTCTATCTCTCATGGACACTCTCCGTTCCTATGTTGTGTCTCATGGTCACGCTTCTTTGAGTTTCTTTTGGTGGCATTCAAGATAAGACCTTAAATGCAAAGATCGTGTGAATGCCAAAGCCTGAAGAGATATCACATGACAGATTGAAAATAAACATGTGAATTGCAGTTAGGGTTTATCTATGCACCAAGAGCCAAATAAGTTCATATCTACCACCGGGTGGCTCTACTACCTGGTTATGAGGGTTATAGGAAGGCGTAGATAAGTTTGTATAACCATCGTAGTAGAAGCAACATTTGTGTCTTGGCACAAGGAGATACCGACATCTACTTCTCCACTACCGACTGGCCGAAAGCCGTGTCAGCAGCAGCTGGCACTGGCTGCGTGACGGGCTTGCTAGCTCCCGGGACAAAATGTGGACCCACGGTCACGAGGGCGTCCAGTGAACTGGGAAGAATACGGCTTCTTTTGATGCCGGGGATTTGACTGACTGAGGCGCGTCGGTCTGTGTACGGCGTCGTGTACAGCAAGGGAGGGCTGGACGTTGTCTCGCTGATCGGGGCAGGCTTTGGCCTGTCAGCAGCTCAGGTTGTGCCCGCTGCCTGTTGATGGATCATGTTGAACGTTCAGGTGGTTAAAGAGCGAGCAGTATGTGCAAGCGACGTCCACTTGTCCGCCGGTGAACTCCTATTTACCCAACTCAATCTAGCCCAGCCCAACCGCAGCAACCAATTCAAGCCATCCAACGATACCAACCAAGCCATACCAAACAAACCACACACGTTAAAGCAACCAACCCTCAATCTTCGATGAGGTCTCAGGTTTGCTCAGGTGGGCGGGCTGGCAGTTCGGTCACTGGGCCTTTCGCAAAACCCACACGCTGGACGGGTCCTTTGTGCAGCTGCAGACGGCCGGGGGTCCGACGACCGGCTTCAACTGCGGGGACTCGGAGGCGCGGGAACTGGTGAGGATCTTCAGCTGAAAGAAGGCCGGTGGGGGGGGCTGGGGGGCGGGGTGTGTGTTGGGATGATGGGAATGTGAATGGTTCTCTTTGGAGACTTTGTCCATCTTGAATGTTATGTCCGGATTGGTTGCCATGGGAGCTCCATTTCTTGATGGCCTCAAAATAGGATCTCCTCCGTCATGCTTTGCCGCTTCACTTTGCTTTCCGAGGCGGCCTTGACGCCGCGGAAAGGTCAGTTTGGCAGATGGAGGCGCCTCTGCGGCGCTGGTCGAACGGTCGCGTGGACCGAATCGGTTCAGAGAAAAGCCTGCGGCGCGTGCACTGATCTGGTGCCAAGAGCATGGGTGCCTCAATGGCCCCAAAATGGTGCGTTTCTCCCTTTAAACAACGGTACCCTGAACGAAATACACCCCCCCCCAAATGCATGGCTGCGCGGCCATGCTCAAACAATAGGCGTGCAAAAAAGCACGGTCAACATGATATGACTCGGGACTTGGCCGGATTTCGGAAGCTGGGAAAAGATGCCGAAGACTGCAGAAGCAAGGTGAGACGTGTATGGGCACGCTTCCCATCAAAAAAGGAGCCCTCAATTCGGCTCCGAGGTTTTTGTCAAACCCATTGCTAGGTTCCCTCAGGCTGCAAACCCGAGTCACCAACACTCTCTCCCAAGGTACTATGGGAGCAAGATTTAGCCATGCGGCTCATGGAAAGAAGTTGGCCATGAAAATGCTCTCCGTTAAGGGATTCCCAATTCAAGAACCATACCGAAGTCTTCCGCCACTTTTGTTTCTTTTGCGAACCCCAAGATCGTTGCCTGGTCTAGGGGGTCTTCCACTCTTCACCTTTGTTTGAAAGGGAACCACCAGGAAGGCCGCAGCTTGTAGGGGGTCCGAATCCCTAGGCCGACGAAGTCGAACTCAGGCCACCGCGGCGCCGGGCGCCCAGGCGGCCGCCCAGGAACTGGCCGAGGCCGGAGCCATGGACGATGGGACGATTGATCGCTTGGGGAAGAGGTGGCCTCTATGAATCAAAAAACGAGTTGATGTTTGAAGAACAGTTGGGTCTTGATTTAACACTTTTTTGGATGTAGTTCGATTGAACACCCTGGCGACGGATGCCTTTGTTTCACAGGGCGCAGAAATTGAGGACCCACTTGGTGGAGTTTGAGTGAACACACGAAAGGACACCAGCTGAGCTGCTTTGAGGAAGCAGGAAAGCGCCTGTGGAGGGTCTATCACCAAGTGAGACCCCGGCCGCAAGGCGCTTCGGATGGAGGAGGCCTTGGAGCTGAGGAGACGAGGCCTCAGCGCAATTTGGCGCTTGAGTCGGGCAGATGTGGGGGTTCAGAAACAAGAGAAGATTGGATTTACTTTTTCTATTGTGTTTCATGATTTAGCTTCGAACTCACTTTCGGTTTGAGGGTGGCTCTAGGTTGTTTGAGCCATGTCGGTCGGCTGGCGCGCAGTGACCTTTTGCATCACACATGCCCGAAAATGAGGGGTCAGCATCCATTCAACTCAAGGCGACTCCGGCTGTAACATTTAACTCTGTCATTGGTTCTTTTGTAGTGGACGAATAGAGCCAAGTCAGCGTGAAATCAGCCGTCCGATCCTCGCTTCCTCGAAAAGGGCTCTCACGCAGATGGCTTTCCAAGGGCATTCTGGGTCGGGGGTTGAGACGGAAGGGTAGCAGAGAAGGTGGCTCACGGTGGCTCAGACAATTAAAGCAAAAAGACGCCCATTCGACTAGCCTGCATTGATATGGAGGGAATTCTAAGCAAAGGATGAGTGGCGAGCGCCTGCTTGCAACAACTGGTGCTGCTTGAAATGAGTAGCAATGAAGGTGAACGTGCTGGCCTTTGTATGTGAGATTATGGCACTTACCATTTTGTGACAGATGGCTATTTGCCTGCTTATTTGTATTCAATCAGGTCATTTGCTGGGGCACAACATTGTCCTCAGCCAACAGCAATAGGCTGCACTTGCATCTCAAGCTTGTGTACCAGCATAGTTGAAACCCAGAATCAGGTGAGACGGTGAGAATGGAAGCCACTTTCTGAGTGAATATCTCGGCTTTCTCAGTGCATTTGAGACTGTACGGCCAGGCTGGATACCATCGAGCCAAGGAGAGGAGGCCTTCGCAGGTGGGCCTCGCGAATTGCGAGCGATTTGCCGCACTGATGCCGCAAAGGAGGGATCGATTTTGCGAGATTCATGGATATTGATAGTGTCTTTTTTGATTGGACGTATACCAAGCAGCTTCAAAAGACGTGCTTGTAAACAACACTTGTATTATTTGTGTATGCACACACACACACACATTGACTTGCGCATGACATACACATACACAATGACACATATATATACATACACATGCACATATTAATATATACATATACACATTTATGTATATGACTTGGAGTTTTTGGATTTGCATTCCCTGCCTCACACGTTTGCAGATTTATTCGTTGGAGAACTGCTTGGCCCAAACTTTTCGGCTTCTCCTCCCCGGTTTGCCGGTATTTGTCCTCTCCCAGCGGTCGCCCATGTAGGCGTCAAGGGACCATCAAATGGGGCTGGCTCCGTGCGTACGTGTGTGTGTGTGTGTGTGTGTCTCGTTTTTGTTTCAAACACCACCAATCGGAGGTCTCAATGGGATGAAATGAGCTCGCGCCCCTCCCAGTCGCCTCACCGAGTCACCACTTGAAGTACGGGCCAGCTTGCCCCGCTTTTATTTTGGCAGCTGAATAGCCTTTTGGGAATGATGCCCCGGTGTTTTGCCAGAGACTTCATTTGCAGATATTTGGTGGTGTTGGGCACAACCTTGGCCGCGCGGCGGGTTTCTACCACGGGCTTGAGGAGGTGCCGGTTTTGCTGAATGAAGTGGATTTGGGCAGTGACATCCAACATAGCCAGCGCAGACGTTTGACCAAACAGAAGATGAGAGTTGGCTTCCCCTTCGACGGGGCATGCTTTGTCCTGATCAAGAACCGAACACCGCGAGATCTTTCTGCCGGGGCCGGGCCAGGAGCTGCCCGCACCGTCTTGGAGAACAGTGGCCTGCCCTGGCAGCGGCCTGAGCGATCTGAGATGCTGCTTGCAAAACGCCATATGCACGGGGAAATCCGGTGGGGGGAGGTAAGTGCTAAAAACGTGCCACCACAGGAAACCATGTCATCTTGTCCGTGCGGGATCCCAGGGAACCAGAGGTGTGGGAGGCAGAACCAAAGACTCGATGTCTGGCGAAGTGGAATCAGCTTCGGTAAACAATGCAAATCCTATAAATTCATCACTGTTGCAATACTGTACTTATGCCATGGAATCCACCATAGCAGCCCAGTTCATTTGTGGACGCTCACACGCAGCATGCTATATCTGATGCTATGATGTTTATATTATAATCACTCAGATCCTGGCTGGTGTGCAAAAGACGAAAAGACGGGGGCGCCTGGGTTGAGCCCGCAATGTATTGGAGAGAAGGTGCCATCTTTGGGAGTTGTAGGGACCCTGTGCCTATTCCAGCCTTTGAGCTTGCACGCTCTAAAGCGAGTGGAAGGCTTTGCATCCAGCTGCCCGAGTTCCAACATCCCGTGGTCTTTGCGGAGCGTGGGAACCCAGCCTCGCGCAGAGTACCCTCCAAGTGAGCAAGGGCGAACCGGCCATTTGCAGCAGATGAAAATGGGCACACTCACCAACTGACCAAATTACCACCCCAACTCCCATGTCAGTTGGGAACACAATGAGCACTCATGAGACCTGAGGGGACCCTGGCTTAGGACGAAATCCAGAGGACCATATCAATCAGCGGCATCCCCCCTTCAAATAAGTGCATTCCCAATTCTAGCGACAAAGGAAAGTTCCACAAACTCCCGGCCTAGGCCGCAGTATGGCCAAGACATTGAGCTTCCACCGGGTGTTCTGGCTGCGTCCCGTGCGCAGGCAGCGAGGGTCTGGCTCTGAAAGCCCAAACCTTCAAATAGAACTTTGGTAGAACCAACAGTCAACGGGTTCTGGGCATTGCTCAATTGTAATCTGCGAAATCTGTGGTAACTAGGTTGTGGTGACAAGTGTGCCACATGTCCACCAACGAATATGTCTGAACCACAGAGCTGGCAGCTTTGACCCATGCGGCCGTTCAGGAAGTGGATCAAAGAGACTTGGATGCTCTGCAAGATGGCACGTGGCTGCTCGCGGCTCAGGTGCAAAAGAACTGGGGGTCGACAAGAGGAACACAATTTGTTTCAGCAGTGGTGTCTGCATAGTGTGGTGTCAGCAATGGTCTTTCTCTCAGCCTGCCGTGCTTTTCAGCTGAGCGTGAAGAGCAGGCTCCGGCCGCTGCGTGCACCGGATCCCGTCCCGCGCGGTTGCCCAGAAGAGTCCCTGAGCGAGATTGCAGGAGTGGTTGACCCACTCCTTGTTGGGGGGTGGTGCGGGCCCGAGATGTGAAAAAGAAAGAAGGAGAGAGAGAACACAGCTTTGACTATGGTGCAGGGTGTCCCTTGATGGCATGCATGGAGAGGCTGAAGCAAGGCAGGTTTGGAGCCTGCGGGATTCAGGCTCCTGGTTTGGACTTTTCTTTTTGAAGAGACCTGTCCAGATGCTGAAACGTCAGTCAAAGGTCGGTACCTGTGCCACTGGCTGCACAAGGACCGGCGGATGAAAGGCGACAAGTTGCTTCGGGTTCACATGGCGTTTATCAGACGGCTTTTTGGGTGTTTTCGCTCATTGCCGTTTCTTTTGCAGATGAATTCGGTCCCAACCCTATCTTTACAAGACACACTGTATTTTGACCCGTTGGTGCTCAGCCAAAGACAGAGAGAGAGGTGGGCGCTGCCTAGTGACTAGTGTCCGTTCTGACGACGTGCATGCTTCATGCTGGCCGCTTCTTGCAGAACATTGGCAGCGTCAGAGCTATCAGTATTTGGCATTCGCATGCGCCACTTCCCGTTGGCTTGCAGTTGGGATGGGGACCAGAACATGTTTGTTGAATGGAATCAATGTGGTTCCATCCTCCCACAAAATGGAGGGCGTCCGCATTTTCAGATCGCACAGAGCTGCCAGGACGAAGCTTCAAATGCTTCATCGACCATGTGCGGCGCTTGGCATGCGACGTCTTGGCCAAGCTCCCACTGGGATCAGGGACGCACCTCCTTGTATACCGTGAATATAAGCTTGTAACACTGTGTATATCCCCTGTATAAGTGGTGTATAACCTTCGTACCTCCAAAGACCATACCTGATTAGTTTCAACAGACTAATCATAGCGAGTTCGTGTAACGAGGCTCATGCTGAAGGACTCTTGCTGAATGTTATATTTCAGGAGCTATGGTACCAAATTGTGCTTGGCATTTCGGCATGGCGGAGCCGCTTCCATGGCTGAAGGACTTCGAAGTCCCTTTGACCAACCGGTCTGCTTTGCTGCGATCCCTTTGGGGCAAAATCAGCATTTTGTCTGCGTGCCAAAACGACACAGCTGCTTCAGCTTCGCAAAACCACAATGTCTCCTCAACCAACGAGGACCAGAAGCTGAGGCCCCTTCCCCCCCGTTTTCGCAACTTCGTCAGCAGAGTCAGGGACCCTCAACATAAACAAACGGGTTCCAGCTTGCAACAAAGATCAGTGCAGCATAGAACCCACGTGTCAGACCCTCGATTCGCCAACGCAGGTCGTTCGATTTGTCCCATGTGCCTGGGGGCCCGCCCAGGGCGCGTTGGACCACCCGGCGCTGCAGAAGAGTCTGCGCCTGGGCCGCTCCTCGCGGGCCATGGTCAAGGAATGGGATGGGCCACATGGGCCACATGGGCCAAGGGCGGCCAAGGGGCTCAGGGGCGAAGCTTGCGGGAAAATGGAGGCTTGAGGGTTGTGATGCCAGGGAAACCGCCCCTTGCAAGCGGAGAAATCGGATGACTCCAGGTGGGTGTGGAGCAACTGGGTCCAAATACCTTAACATGTTCCCAATTGACGAAGGGGGGCGCCTAATCGTGCGAAAAACGGAAGGAAGCCATTCTCGCTTCTTTGTCTCCTTCCCATCTTGTCCTGGCATGCCCGGGAGGTGGTCTTGGGGCGTCCAAACGCGGCGCTTGCCTACAAAGTTTGTTTTCAATCAACATGGACAGATGTTGCCCCGTAAAAAGATTGCAGGCAATCGGCTGTCCTCTAAATGGGCATGGACGCTCCAAAACAGTGTTTAAACCATAGACTGTATGATAGACCAAAAAAGGGTTCTTTGCTCCTCGTGCGACAGGACAAGGATGTGCGGCCCAGCGCAGAGCAGCTGAAGCGGCTAGCCATGGCCCGAGGATTTTTTTTGGGATGCCATGGGGTGGTTCGGGCTGGACAATCGATGGAAGAGGTTCATCCGATTTTGGCACGCAGTTGAGTGAGGGAAGATTTGAAGGGTGTGCCTGTTCTGGAGGAGCTGCTTGATCCTGTCACCTTCCCGTTTCTGCATGACAAGTGCAAGTAGCATGTCTTTGCGTCTGACCCCCAAAGGCACCAAGGGCCTGGCGCCTTTGTTCAGCCCCCTCCCTTCACTTCGTTCGGCTTGAGGCGGAGGTGGTCCGCCGGCCGCGACGCCATCTCAGCGACCTGGCTGCAAATATGTATTTCTGCGGAAGGCGGGCAGAGAGACTGCAGTCACAGGAGGGTTGTGGCTGTTCCAGCCCTTCACAAAAGGCATTGCTTGCCACATTGCTGTGTATATACGTATACACACAATACACACACAAGTCTTTCCCAGAACCTTCCGTTTGCACAGGCTCTATGCTTCAGTGCCCGGCCGGCCCAGGTTCCGAGGAGAAGGACTTGCTCTTCCGCTTCCGCTGGAGCCTGACGGACGCCTGGCGCGTCACGTTAGCAGCATGCCGTTGTACCGCACGCAGCTCCAGACGATTGGACTGTGCATCTTGGGCCTCTCAAAAGCTGCCGCTGTTGACTTCGAGTCCATTGTTAGCAATCTGAAATCTGAGGACCAACCTGGCGCCCTCACCAAGTTTCTTCATGCTGTGGAGTGGCGAGACATGGAGGACAAGTTGAACCCACCAGATCTATGTCCTACGTTCCGTTCTCAACGCCGCGTTTGCATTCTCCGTCATCGGAAGCACCTCGTCCATACTTGGTGCAGGAGAGAAACCACGCCATCGAGTTGCTGGGTGCTTGCCTCAAGCACCCATTGGTAAGGCAACTGTTTGTCGCGGTCGTTCCTGTATCCATTGGTCGGGGGAGAAGTGTCGTGGTGTTGCACATTCACAACTTGCTCGCTGCCTGCAGGCTCATTTGAGCAACGGCCACTGCATTATCACCCAGGTGTTTCACGGCTGACGCATGGGAACAACCGACAGTATTATCGGGACGTGAATGGCCCCGAATCGGTTTTGCGTGTTCCCCTCTGATGGCAATAGTATCAGCTCGCGTGATTGCTAAGCAAAGGCCACTGGAGCCCGGTGGATATCGATGATGCACTGGAGCTCCTTAGCAAGGACCCGACCGCCTCATTTGGCCAACAGGGTCTCGTTATTCCAAGGCACAGGGGAAGCACACGGCAGTGCAAGCCATGAAGACGCATGGTGACAATTGAGGAATGTGTCACAAACTTCAGTGCCAGATTCGGAGAGGTTACGGGGTGGGTTTAGGCTTTTAGTTAAGGTTTAGGGTTTGGGGTCAGCGTTTGTGGAGAACGCCCGAAGTTTGCAAGTTGGTGATGGTCGGAGCTCGGCAGCTCAGCGCATGGTTTTGTCCTTCTTGCTAATCCTTCCTCTTGGAGCGACACGAAACCGCTCCTGCATAAACTTCCATCAGGACTTCCAGGGCCTGCTAGAGGTACGGCGCCACGCCGTGCCGGGGCCCTTGTGATGCGCAGGTCGCGCAGGCAAATTAATGCATTGCAAAAATGGCCATTTGGTGGGTTGGCATACTTGGTGTTTCCTTGGTTATTGTTGGTGATGCGCGTGTCGAAGCTTGGCTCTGCTTCAGCCGTCCGGCACTGGGTCTCGCATGAAGACTCCCGCCGCCTCCACCAAGCGTAAGGCAGCGGCTGGAAACCGCCAGCGATGCAGACTTGCAGCTGTACTTGTTGCAGTTGGTGCAGGCGACGGGCACGATGGCTGGGAGTGCTGGGGGGTGTTGGGGGGTGGGTTGAAACTTTTTTTTGGTGGAAGACGCTGAACCTTTAGGAATAAGGTGTTTCTAGTACACACACACAGGCGTTGAAGTGAAAAGTGTGTTTGGGGATTGTGCAGGGGTGCAAGCGGACAATCACCCGCACCCTGATGCGACTCACGCCTGTGCCTTTCAACGTCCGAACCGCCACATTGCAGGCGCTGCGTTACGAACCTGAGGCAAGGGGGCAGATGTCGATGTAGCTGAGCCACAGCCCAGCCAACGCAAGTTTGGGAAGGGTATGAGTTGTTGGTAGAGAGAGAGAGAGAGAGAGAGCGAGGAGCGTTGTTTTATATCCATTTGCGCAGTGAGGCGTTTCTTGTCCATGCAAGCTCCAACATGTTGCAAGAGCCACTTGGTTTTTCGCCCACTGCGCTGCACTGGGGCAGAATTCTCGAATGTTTTGTGCCTGAACCTGCCCCACATAAAGGTGTAGCTGGAGGCTTTAACATGACAAGCCAGGGAGCTAGATCAAGGTTTGCCGGGATCCGATTTGCCCGAAAGGACTCATTGCAACCACAGAAATTGATAAAGTGCTTCCTCAGCGTCCCAAAGACACGACTTGATTCCCTTTGCACATTTGCTGAATGGTAAAAATCATGTGTGCCATGGTCATGAGGCCGGATTCTTCAAAGTGGTGATCGCAGCTAGCATTTTATGTATGTAACTCAGGGGGGTCATCGTCCCTCAATCGTGAGCTCTGAACATGGCGCATGTGAAACTTTGGACAATTTCCGACTCAGCCCCGGGCTTGCGTGGCTTCAGCCTTGACAGGTGGATGAGGGCGGGCAGGCGTGGCTTGCAGGTTCATGGAAAGGGTGTGTCACCTGAAGTGAATGGAAGAAGATGCAAGGCCAGAGGATCTTGGGTCCGGCTTGTGCTGGCAAGCCTTTGTTGGCGATGCTTCAGTTCCTAGTCATAGACCCGACCTGAACAAGTTGAGCCACATTGGCCTTTACAAGTCTGCAATCAGCGCGCATGGAAGTTTATATATGGCCTCCAAAGCTGGGCGCAAGCCGCCGGGTCAATGGCGGCGCATGTTTTGGCTCTGACAATTTTATAAGGACATGACCGAAGCATGTCCTTCTTGGTTGTTTCGGTTGGCCCTGGTTGGTTGACCCGGTTGCTTCATAATCCGCCAGGGCCGTCTATTCACCTACAGGGACATTTGTGGACAGATAAATGTTCAAACGGACATTGCTTGGTCATTTTGCCGGCCTGCAGGCTCTGGCCGGGCCGGGCGCTCGGCCGAGACTTCTTTTAAGGTGCTTCCTGAACAAGCCGCCCAACAAACAATGATTGATATGGCTTGCCGCTCGTTTCCCTAGCGTAACCACAAAGGACAATGCACCCAAGGGACAGATGCATTTCCTTGGCAAGATTTGCTCTGGGGGGGGGGTTATGCTGCAATGCAAATCCACCTTTGCACCTTTTGCCTCCCATTGTAAAATGCGACCCGAAAAACAATGGTCCGAACATATTTCCCGCCCAAACATTGTACCGGTAAAGGAAACCTCGAGAGGAACGGGGCGTCATCCACCTGGCGGTCCAGGTTCCTGATCCGGCGAGCTGTGAACTGCACATCCTTGGCCACCCTGCTGTACTGGTACGTCGTGGCGCGAGGGAGGGTGCAACGGTGAAGGGGCGAAGGGGCCGAAGGGGCCGAAGGGGAGAGGGGGGGTGGACGAACTGGGGAAACCTGAGAAGCTCTGACACCGCTTTGGCTTTGGAGTGCGTTTAGATTTCTTCGATTCGGGGGCTCGTGAGCCTTGTGAAGCTCGGAACTTGGCACTTGTGAGCCTTGCAATGCGCCAGGCGGAGATTGACGAGGGCGAGTCCGGTGGGCATTTCGACATGGCCTGCTCCTCATGTGTGATTCTTCAATACGCGCATCGCCTTCACCTGCAGTTAAAGTTGTATGCGGATCAGTTCACAGCAGGGGCTCGCGATGGATGTCACAGGTCCGGCAGCAGCTGCTTGCAGCGCTGGAGAACTCGCCTGGCGGCACGGCGCCCCTGATGCAGCAGGCAGGGCTTGGCCGGGGAGGCAAGAAGACTTGGGAGACCTTGGTTCCTTGTCCCTCTTTGGTTTGCCTTTGTCCTCAGAATGCCACTTTTCGGCAGGTCGGAACCCAGAAAAGAAAAGGAACGTTTGGGGGGCGAGACCGTCCGCGGTTTCTTCACAAGGAAGAGTGCTCTTTTGGGGGGATTTTCGGGGTGCTGTGCTTACTGGACCCTCCTTGGCAGCGCAGCAGAGGACTGTTGGAGCAACTGCTGGGTGGGAGTAGGTTGGCATGGATGTCCCGGTACGACCTGGTCATCTTGAGCAAGTTGGGGTCCGGTTTCCCGTTGTAAACCAGAAAGCAAGACAGAAAGAAAAAGGACATAAAGAAAGAAAGAAAGAAAGAAAAAAAGAAAGGAAGGAAGGAAGGAAGGAAGGAAGGAAGGAAGCAAGAAAGGAAAGAAAGAAAGACAAACAGAAGACCGACAGACAGACAGACAGACAGGCAGACATGTACAACATGAAGTATCAGAGAATAGTAGACAATGACATATATATATATATATATATGGTACCCCCCCCCAGTACCTAGGTGTTGTTGCATCATGTATCAACACCATTGATATTTACAGTGTATTTTGATTGATCTCATGCATTTTCTGCAAGGCCATTTTGTGGACCAAAAAAACCAAAACACCAAAACACCAAAACACCAAAACACCAAAACACCAAAACACCAAAAAACCAAAAAGCCAAAAAAGCAAAAAACCCAAGAAACCAAAAAACCAATCCTAGCCCCCACCATGGCTGGGATTCTTTGGTTTTTTGGTTTTTTGGTCCAGGGAAATGTTGCGCAACAAATTCCAAATGTTGCGCAACATTTGCGGAGCATTCCCAAAGCCTCGGAAATGTTGCGCAACATTTGCGGAGCATCCCCAAAGCCTCGGAAATGTTGCGCAAAATTTGCGGAAACGATCTGAGAGCCTCGGTGTTAGGCAAGCTGTCGCTTTCAGGAGCCATTTTTAGCCATCATTTCATCTCCCTAGTATTCCGATTCCTGATCTGTCACATGGCTCCTAAGTTCACCATGCAGATCGCTGGCCAAGTGCAAGTTGACAGCTCCCAAGTCTCCATACGGTTTGCTGTCCCTCGAGCCAGTGACCATGAAGGAACTGATCCTCCTCCTGCCCCGGCTTCAACACCTAAGATCATCATCCAAGAGATCCAGAACGGCACTTTGGCAGCACATCAAGAGCAATGCAACAGCCCAGGAAATCCGAAGGCATCGCAGCCCGAGAGCCCGAAGGCAATGCTAGAACAAGAAGTGAAGCGCCGTGAGGAGTTGGAGGCCAAGACCTTGGAGCTCGAGACTGTCGTGGCAAACTTGGAGAAAGAGAACAGCATGCTGAAGGCCCAGGTCCGTGCTTTGAAGGCAAAGAAGCATGCACAAAAGCCGTGATGCACACAGTCGTGGGCAGGCATTGCCATATGAGCGGGGAAAAAAGAAAAGCAGGTTGATTCCTTGGGGCCATGTGCACCTGCATGCCTGCATGATGCTGTGGCTATTGTTCTCATATGCAACTGTTTAGATCAGTGTTCAAAAGCTTAGGTCTTCCACGCCCCTCTCATTAGCAGTTCAGCCATCGGTCATGTCATCCTTGATCTTAGAGAAGGTTTGCCTGAAAGTGGCGTCCATGAATGTGACCAGATTGGAGCGGCCTCGTTTTGATCGAAACGACGAATGTGCGTACAACATGGCTGAACTGCCCCTCAAGGATATGGATGGCGGGAACAAGGTCAAGCCTGCAGTCGATATTGTTGAACAAGAACTTCTTTGGGACAACATTGACTTTGATGCCATTGAAGCAGTCATGTCCAAAGAGGACTACTATGACCTCCCGGCACCGTTTGCTCCTGCAAGTAAGTCTGTCGTCTCCTTCAAGATGCAAATGGTCACTCGCAGGTCGACGCATTCTACTTGCACCATCCTCAAGCACTTCATCTTTGAAAACAAGGTGCCCGCGTGTTCAGGGCCATGGCTGTGGGGAAGCCCATGGTTGTGGAACTTGGACAAAAACTTCCGCAATGGTCTGCTGGGCTTTCAGCTGCTGCTAAGCCGCGTGCGGGCGTTGGTCTGCGCAGTACTTTCACTGTGAGGCGAGGGCGCCCAAGCGGTCCGCCGTGAAGAACAAGACTGCCTTGCAGACCGGCTTCGACTTCATCAAAGAAGGGGGGCCTCGGACGAACATGCGCAACCGCCAAACAGAGTGGACAGAGATGGAGATCTTAGTTGCCCAAAGCCAACCTTTTAACCTTTTGCTTGGGAACCCTCTATATCCACTGTTTTTTTTCAGCATCTGCATGGGAGTTTGGCTGTCTAACACATTTGTTCTTCCTAAGAAAGCCAGGCAATAACACGTTCTCTTTTTAGGCTGGCTGGAATCAAAGCAGCAAGGCTAAGTCACTCTGGCTTTGTTCCAAGTGCAAGGTAAGGCTTATGCAGACTAGCTGCAGTGAGACGATGAGAAGGCTAGCGCGCGGTATCTTTGTTTAGGAGTGAGCCACTTGGGCGTGCAACTGCTCTGCGCTTATTGATCTGGAACAGGGCTGCGTGAAATGTGCTTCATTCAAATTTGCGTCTATTTCGCTGAAAGAGCAGAAAACTCAGACTGAGCCAAAAGCCGTAGCTGCAAACCCAACGTCGAATCACAGCAAAGGCCCACCTGCTTGGAAACCGTGCTTCTGGCCGCAGTCCAACGCTGCCGCCACCCTGCTGCGCACGCTGCCGCCACCCCGCTGCTCTGCTCGAGTCTTGTGCTGTTTCATCGTCGCGGCGCCTCCAGCGTACGGCTCATGTTGCTGATGAACTTGCCGTTCCCTGGCGCATTTGTCCGTTGCTTTTCTTTGCAGAGTTGCCGTGGTGTCGCCGGTGTCCAGAAGTTTGCCTTGCTTCACGGAAGTGCTAGCCCTGGCTGCCTCTTTATGAAGGCCGAGATGCGCTGCCATGATGCTGAACGCGCGCCTTGACAGCGTGCTGTTTTTGGCCGTCTGATTTGCTGGGCCCTTCGCACGCTGCAAATATGGAGTAAGAAAAACATTCTTTCACGCTGAATTTTGCCTTCTGGAGGCGCTGCGCGCAAAGCACCGCGCCTCTAGATCCGATGTGTGCAGAAAAACAGGAGTCACACTCATTTCAATCTACATGCGTTTTTTGCCTGAACCACAGCTTCTGAAAGCGTTGAGGCTGTCTTTCTCGTCTCAGGTGTGGGCTCCAGACTGCGCTTTTCGAATTGCAAACATCTTTTTCCTGTGGTAGAGCCCGCTTTTCCGTCGACCACTCAGAAACTCCAATTGGGAGTCACCACGTATCGAAAACTGATCACGTATGCGAACATGCTTGTAGGGCTCAAGGGTCTCGCACAAGCGTTTACACGGTATGCTTCCCGGGCGTAGTGGCAAACTCGCACAAAGGTTCTGGCAAGGCCGTAATTTCTAGGTAGGCTAGAGCATGCTGCAAAAAACAAGCAGCAACTTCGTCTGCCAGCAAATTGCATCGGACCAACGCAAACAGCTGTGTGGCAGCCCAAACAGGAACCAGCGTAGACGCAGTGTTTCAGCGGCTTCAACAACGCAAGGCCAGGACTCCATGACACTTACTGAAGAAACTGCACACACCAGCATCACAGCTGCAACTCTGCACTTTGTCAGCACATCTTGTTGTGGACGGCGCGCAAGGCTGCCATGGACAGCGCTTGCGGCGCAAAGGGGACGGTGCCACAAGAACTCGCTAACAAATTCGGTTGCAGCCAGGGCAGTTTCATCCCCTGCGTCGCAGTCCATGAGTCAAAGGCAACCTTGCAGCGCCGCAGATCGTGACGTGATCTGTCGCTCCTCGCGTCCGAGCTTTGCCCTACGTGCCACACAGCTCTGTTGTCAGGAAATGATGGCCGTGGTAGAACGCTTGCTCTCGTGTGCGGGCGCAGGCATTTTGCTGCACCTACGCAAGCGCTGCTGCTGCAGCAACAAGCGTCAGAGTTATGATTTTGTTCGGCGTGGTCCAATCGGCAGGTCTTGACGTCCAGTTCAGTTTGCGACCACTTAGAGACAACGAGAAGTTGAAAGAAGAAACATAATATGCTCACAGAATCAACAGCGCCCGGATGCGGCGAAAGTCTGGCTGTATGTGGCTGCCCAGGTTGTCGTAGCGCTGTCGGCGCCGTTCGGTACTGCCTCATCATGATGCTGCCGCCCCGCAGAATCCTCATGCGCTCCGCGTCATTGTGATGCTGCCGGCGTCGTCATGACGCAGCTTGAAGTCGTTTGGCGCTTCCAAGCATGTAGCCCAACACTGCAGCCTTGCTTTGCTTTCCGCGGTCGTTGCTTGCCCGCATCATGGCGATGCTGTCGCCCAGACTTTTCCAATGCTGTCGCATCATCATGATACTGCCGCATCATCATGATACTGCCGCACCATTGCGATGTTGTCGCATCATCATGATGCTGCCGCATCATATCATGATCCTGCAGCACCATCATGATGTTGCCGTATCATCATGAAGTTGCCGCATCATCATGATGCTGCCGCATCATCATGATGCTGCCGTATCATCATGATGCTGCCGCATCATCATGATGCTGCCGCATCATCATGATGCTTCCGCATCATCATGATGCTGCCGCGTCATCATGATGCTGCCCGCGTCATCATAAGCATGCTACTTGAGTTTCGTCGGTTTTCCGCCTGCATTATTGCCGCGCTGCGCGCAAGATGCCGCGCCCCGCAGAACAAACACATAGCTCTGACTACATCCTCACCTTCCCGTTCGTTCTGATCCGTTGCACCGCATCATCATGATGCTGTCGCCGGTAGGTTGACGCTGGCCCTCACCATCCTTACACCGCATTGTTACCTTGTTGTCCCGCATCATCATGATGCTGCCCGCGTCGTCACGATGCCGCCCACATAATCATGATGCTGCCGCAACTAGAAAAACAGAGCAGTTCTGCTTGCGTATTTTGTTTTCGT